GTTGGACAATGCATCAAAGTGAGAGGTTTGTCACTTTTTCAGCATAATGTGCTACTGGGTTGTGTGTATTAAACTGAGAAAGTAGAGAGGGAAGCAGAGATATATAATAGATCTATGGATTCTTTGTCATGCTGGAACTGAATCCGTAAAAGGGTCATTCCAGAATTGGAGGACAATTTAGACACCAACATTTTTGAAAAATGAACCTTTTATTTTATAATTTTTTTTAATGTATTTAAGAAAAACAGATAATAAACCATCAAAAAAAGTGATTTGCCCAGCTAGGCATCAAATGTATATTTTCCAATGAAGAATTACCCCTGTTACTCTAATTATAGTAACAGGGTTGAAAATCAATGCTAATTTGAGCTTTAACCTCAGGAATTATTGCTAGATGTAGCAAGGACAAACTTGGATATCTAATGCAAGAAAGATAACTTTGAAATGAATATGCTTTATTCTGATAATATCAGTAACAGGGTTGAGTGGGTCAGAGTGCCACACTCTTTTAAGACTGAAAAGATTGTAAAAATATGAAAAATAAAAGAGAGGACTTAGTTTTGGTCTACCCATGGCACATGGCTTTCTGATGTCCTTTCCACTGTGTCATCTGACTTACAGCTTTTTCACTTCCTCTGCCAATCTAAAAAGGTTTGGGTAACAGGGTTGAACGCATGTTGAAGGACACACCTTCTGTGCAAAATTACTGTTATTTAAAATATGTTTATGATTTAACAAATTGATTTTATCATTACAAGAGACATATATCAATAGAATAATACCAAAAAAAGTAAATAAAATCCCTATTTTAAATGTTAAATTTGACATGCAAGTTGGTCACCAAGAAGCGGGACAAGAGAAAAATGCCATATAAGGGGATGTTCGAGAGCTATTCGATAATTTAAATAATATTTTGAAACCACTTTTTCTACAACTTTATATACATTTTGTTTCAAGACAAGTATGTTTAACACAACAAGTGCATGTTTTAGCATTTTGGGCATGGATTATTAGATTTTCTATATGGGGGACATGAAATGTCCTCCAATTCTGGAATTACCCAAAACTTGCTAAATAAGAAAGTAATATTTCAGCGAATGTTGAAACGTTCATGTTGTGATGTGTGTTTGAGTTATGAGAGTGCTGTGTGTGTGTGTGTGTGTGTGTGTGTGTGTGTGTGTGTGTGTGTGTGTGTGTGTGTGTGTGTGTGTGTGTGTGTGTGTGTGTGTGTGTGTGTGTGTGTGTGTGTGTGTGTGTGTGCCTGTGCGTGTGCGTGTTGCTGTATTGTATAGAAATGATCGTGTCAGTGTGTGCCTATGTGGGTGTTGTTGCCGAGGATAGTGCGGCACAGAGCACAGCTTAATATCTATGTTTGACATAGAGGCCCATTAATAAGGGTCTGATCTGAGCCCAGTGACAGGACTGCTGACAGAGGAGGATCATGGGGAAGAATCATGCCCTGCTGAGGGAGCCTGGGCTGCAGGTACACCCATTCTGCCTTCCCCAGGTGTCATTACGGATGCTGGGGAAGGAGCGAATGAGGGAGGGCCGCTAGTGACATCTACATTAATCACCCCTCCACACATCAGCACACCGCCTCCCCCCACCTTCAGCTCCTAATCATCCCTACACAGAGACCCAAACCCAGTAAGGGGATACTCAGCCATGAAAGATATCCAGCTAAGAGCTCCCCAAATACCACTCTGATCTGATCATGAGTGATGTTGCTACCTGAACCTCTGACCTGCCGCACAATTAAAAACACTTTCCTCTTTCTCCCCTCGACACACACATACAGACAAATGCAGCTATGCTGAAACGACACATTCTGTCACTGTCTGCGTTTGATTCATAGTTTGCATTTGATTTGCACCTTAGTTAAAAGCAATTACAATCCAGGAAATGTCTGCTGGAATGGGCCACTGAACACACTCGTGATTGTTTCCAAGATATCACACTCGCCATTTGGGGACCCCCTATTGATATTCAGCTGTGCCTTAAACTGGCCAAAAACAACGACAATGCAGCACTTCATGTTCACAAGGCTTCACAATCAACACAGCCTTTTTGATTTACAGGACACATCAATAGGATAGTGTTATCAACGGGTGCAGCACTTAATATTTTGAACTGATCACATCAATCCTTCTTTAACTGCTTGAAATGTCTTCCGTATAGCACGCTGATATATTAATAGAAGACATAGTTTGACTTTATTTTGGTACACAAGTCTTTGGGAGTCAACTTGACTGGTTAACGTCGTGTCACTGGAGAAGTGGACAAGGATAGATGTGGGTCAGGGATAACAACCCTCCTAATGAACGGCTCCACCCAGGAACCATCACTGAGCAGATGTTCTGAGGACAATAATGGGAAATCATCTGATTGATTATTAGTTTTGATTTAGTTAAAAAACACATGATTGCACAAAAACGTGACAGTAAATGTGGCATGATTGGTTTAGGTTAAAACAAATGATCCATTTCAGCATCTGGTGGAAAACTCAAATTGTCTTGGAGGGGATGAAAAAAAAGGGGGACAAGGAGTATAATTGCATGCAGGACCGCGTTTTTCACGTCAATTTTTTAATATCTGTGGTTTCATCTGTGTCAACCACAGCTCCTCCTAGGTTTTACTTTCAGTGACTTGACGTCACACTTATTTGTGTGTGGTTACACCTCATTTGCATGCTCTCAGTTTTTTTAAATAAAAAACAGAGTCAACACAGAAAAGCCTGTAATCTTAATCATGTCACCATAATAAAAAATAAACCTATGAGGTTCTTCCTCCAGTGTAATGAAGCATAAGCTCATACTTTAGTATCCACGAGCATTATCAGTACATGGCTTAGCCCCATGATCTCATTTCTATGTACCATGCCTTGCCCTGAGTAAACACAGCCTCCAGTTAATACAAATAAATCCACTTTCAGTTGATATTTAGAAACCAGGGGAATATCACTGCCTCTGTTCCTGATACGGTGATTGAAGGTGGGGAATAAAAAGGCAGTGCTTCAGGGAGAATTACACTCTACTTACTTTTCCATCAATGAAGCCAAACACACCTTTGTTTATGTTTGAAGCATGCTTTTCTTCTTAGTGAATTACCTTTCTCTATTTCCCTTCTTTTCTCGCTCTTTCATTTTGTCGAACCGTCAGCAACACTGATGACACAATAAATTCCGGTTTGGCACTCTGTGTGTGTGTGCGAATGCGTGATTGTGTGTGATTGTGTGTGTGGCTGCATGCATCTGTTAGAATCTAGGACACTGGAGGCCCTGAGAAGACAGCATTTGCATGCAGCTCACAAACATATTAAAATATGAAGACAAATCACTGTGTCTGGCCGGCTGACAAGCGCTGCCTGCAATGGGAGCAAGCTAGTAAACTTCCAACATGTTTCAGTTCCCAGTAAGGCTTTTATAGGGCAAGCCCGAACATGCAGCTTGACAAACAAACGGAAGAAAAAAAACACATGAGCAGTCAAAGCTATTATTAAAGGCAATAGAAGTGGTTCCCTTTGCTGAAGCCATCCTGTCATGGTGTTAGGCTCTGTAGTTTGTATTGGGAGAGTATGGTTTTCACAGACACCTTCAGGGAACATACTGTGAGCTTTGTTCTGCTGACTTTGATGTAAATCATAAAGTGTTCTGAGCCTTTAAGGTTGTGCTCCTGCTGGTGTCGTGTCTGCTCAGGTAAAAACAAAAAGACCAACTTTTAAGATTGATCTCACAAATCTTCAGATGTTAATTTGAGGTCTCATACAGCTCGTTTTGTATTCTGTAAGTCAGTTAGACAAAATACAAATAAAGCATGGATTTGCTGTGTAGTGTAAAGTGGGGGAAAGTGAAAAGTAGCCTACATATTTCATTTTGTTAAATACCCCTTGAAGTGCTCTTGTTAATTAACATGTTTTATAATAAATTACCAGTAATTTCATTTGAGCTTTTCTGATGTGGTATTTATTAATCAATAAATGCCATTTATTAAATATGCTTAATCTTACCTTCTTAAAATCGACTAGAGCTACATGTTTAGTACATGTAGCTCTTCTTTTAAAAACCACATGATAGGGCTGTATTAAAACGCCCGGTGCCAAGAGGATTGCTATAACTGTCACCAGTAGGGGGAGCTCATAGCTCATAGCTCACTGTGTACAAAACGAGTGAGAAAACATGAAACGGGTTGCTGGGCAGTAATGCAGACCACATACATGACCCCCCCCCCCCCCCCTCTATATCTCTGAACCTCAACGTATCTGTGATTGCTGTGCCAAATCATATTACCTAATTTTGTCCATAATTACAAAGGGGATTGTAGGGGTGATCTGTCTTTGTATGCACACTCTGCCCTGAAAAAGACTCATGTATGCAGAGAGGCCGCCTCTCCTCATCTTCATGCAGGGTCTGCTCAATCACTCATTGATTTATGACAGAGATCATATTTACAATTCTGCTTCAATATCTCAATACATTAACATCCATGTACCATTCAGCATCTTCTATCTTGCATCATTAAAATGCCTATACTGATAATGAAATATATTTTGTATCATACTTGTGGCATTATTTCCTTTTCAAAACGACTTTTTTTCCTATTAAAAGCTTATCTTGTGTTGTCACATGTGCTACCTGTTGGCTTTGATTTTGCACAATTTCCCCAGTTTATATTGGTGGTTAAACTTACTGTATATTTCCCACATGAATATAGTCATCAGTAGCCTATAGTTTTCACATAATGTGATAAATAATGACTTTGAAGTATTTGAAGTTATAAGTCAAGTCATAACATGTTAGTTTATGTGGGTTTATCCTCCTCTTAAAAACCTCTCTGATTAAAATTAAAATGTTACCAGTAGAACAAGGGTTAACAGTCTAGTCTTAATTTCCTCACAACTATAGGCACATTTTTACTGAGATCCTAGCTCTCTTGGACTTTTCTCTCCATACTGCTCTCTTCCTCCCCGCTGCTGTGTTCCCGGACTGTTGTTGAGCTGCGGGCTGTGCCGGTGCGCTCCTAGCGGCAGAGCAGTTGAAATCAAAAAGCAGAGAGAGAAAGAAGGAGGATGTTGGACTGACTTGTAGTGCGACTGTACTCTTACATCGCTTTTATCCCAGGCTTAGTACATGGGTCTTTTGGGAGCTGGTTCCCGTTGTAATAAAACAACTTTTAGGGAATGCATGAGAGCTGAAGGCTGGTTTCCAGTCAGAGTCTCAGCCGAGCCATGTGTTGAACTGTGGAGACACCGCTGAATATTTGAAAGGTGCCAGAGACGCTTCCCGAGGAACCGAATACCTGCGAGGAAGAGCCCAGCCTGCGTTTGTTTTCAAGTGTGGACATACAGTAGATTAAGTCTCTCCTCTCACAGCCTGTGTGGGCTTCCGTTTGTGTAGTAGCTCATCTTGGAGAAATAGCAGATATCACGGATGAACTCGCGGGGCAAGTAGGGACCTTACTCCGAGAGTTTGGTCTGAAGCTTTGCTGGATATGAACACCCCCAGCAGCTCCGGATGACATGCTTTGAAATGGAGCCTCTCAATTTGTGGACAATGAAACTGGCTTTTGTCAGTAACTAGGACCTTTACATAACTCCCACAAACACGGAGTAGACTTGCCTGTCATTTTGGAAAAACAATTTTGCAGTGGAATCGAGGATCTGTGCGCCCGCCGTGGATGGTTAATATGCTAGTATGGGTCCGCTAGCGTTCATCCTTGTTGGCGGATTACTGTATTTTCAAGTTGATGGTAAGTTGCCTAACATGTTTTTATATAAAACTACTTCTTACGGATGTTTTAATATTTAGTGGTTTGGGCAGACCTTCACAGACACTGCCATTCTTCTCTTTACCGCGTTTTTATTTATAATCAATGTTGTTTTGTATGTTATTGGACTTATTGAAGGGGGAAAATATACGTCATTAAATCACTTCACTTTTATTATTATACTTTTAACTCGGAAAATTACTCCTTACCTGATGTTAAATCGGCTTCCCTTAATGAGTTGTGATTTAATTAATACTTCATAACATGCTTTTTTCAAGTAATTAACTTAGATTAATACATGAACAAGCAGCATAATTCAACATATAACTCTTTAACTTAATGCAGATAATGCTCGGCTCTCAAGAGGTTAATATTTGGGCAAGCATTAGCTGATTTTTTGTGTGCAACAGATAGAAGAAGCAACATCAGTGCATTATAAGAAGTACATAATTGAATAATGTGCATATATATATATATATAATGGGTTTCCAGTGTGTTTTTCCTCTCTGTGAAACTCTTCTTTATGAATGATTCTCATGTTATGTTACAGTGGCTGCTGATTATCTATAATGGAGAAGTGGAGAAAATGTTGTTAAATAATTCGATTTTTGATTATGGCAAACTATTCAAAAATGCCATTCTTTATTTAGCTGATACACAATCAAAAGTAGTGTAATTCAAAATCAATTAATGCAAACCTGTAGATGGGAGGTTTACTGGGTTGGACATGTTTGGCAAAATATATCTCCCTGCCTCTGCCCTGTAGTACATGGTTCTGCTGTGGTCATTTCCCTTTAGGATTTAACTGCAGCAGTTGAGCATTTAATTGAAAACCGGCTTAAATCCACCTGGGCCAGTGCCCCAGTTTATTATTCCCATTTGTTTGATTAAACTTTAATAATAATGCAAATTAGATTGATACTGTTTAATTTCTTCAGCCAAAAGCTTTAGCCATCTTCTTCCTATCAGCCGCAGAGTCAGCATATTTTCTTTTTACGATTTCATGAGGTTTCTTAGGTTTCACTGGCCTACAAGAGCACTGGTTTAATGGAGGAATTAAAACAGCCTGGACTGCAGAGTTAATGTGATGACTCACATCAATCATCAAAATAGGACGGCTGAGGTGACGGAAATGGCGATTGGGATTGGTCCAACCTGTGACTGGTGGAATGATGGCGGGCATTAAGATGTATTGCTTTTAAATGCATAAACCTGAAGTCTGATTGAATTTTAGTGCTTCTAGAATTGGACACACCTTTTTGCGGTTGTCTCACACGCACACAAAGGGCTTGTGATCATAGAATGAGGGAATCATAATCCTGACAAAACACATACTGGAACCTTATATCAGCACTATGTTGTGAGTGATGATTCACACATGTTTGCTTTGTATTGTTTGTACTACTTAGCCGTATGCAAAGCCGAGTTTTTGTTGTCAGTGAATGCAACTGCCTGCAAGGGCCCATTTTTATTTTCTTTCACCTGTCAACTCCCATTTTTGTTTCTTACAGCTGCAAGTTTTGCTTCTCCTGCCGTGTGAAGGTAGCAAATCAAGCCCTCTTTCTGCTAGGATTTAAATCTTTCTTTTCTTTCTTGTTACCTTTTTTTTGGTGTCTTTCACTCTGTGGAGCCAAACCCACTGGTTGCTAGGCAATGGTTGATGGCATTGCTAGCTGTCCAGAGGGAGAGGGTGCACATCTCCCTGGTAGCAGTGGATCTTCCCAATCATTTGCCTGTCACCCTCCTCCCCCCTCTTCCTTGCTGTCCCTCTCCCCCCCAGTAGAACTCACCCATCACCCAGCCCTTTTCAGAGGTAATCTGAGGGTCCTTGGAGAGGGAGGAGTTTCCTCTAAGAGTCCACTTAGGCAGACAAAAAGGTCTGGAGTTGTATTCACTGGGCAGCATAGCCAACAAAGCCAAGCCTTGTGAATGGCGTCAGGCACTGTTTAGTGTGCTGTGATTAATACTGCTAGTGTGTAGGAAATCAGGGAAAAGGTGAGATGGAGAGAGAATAGAGGGAGTGTTTGTTGGGTGTTGTTGCAGGGCTGGAAGAGATTGTGCATCTTAAAGCAGGGTAACACTTTAAGAATCAGATTGATTGCAGTAGAATATTTTTTCCAGGAATACATCAGTCAGCAGCTGCCTGGTTATCTCTTAAACTCCAGCATGCTGCTTTTGAAGCTGGATTAGAACATGCTTTGCATAGTGGACACACACTCCTGACCTTATTGCTATTCTGAGACCTCCTGCATGCTTGTGTCTGATGTAGGTGCCGGTGACATCACATCCATCCCGGCTGACATACTGAGAGGTGCTGAAATATGGTCTTAAATCTGTCTAAGAGGCTATGGAGAGGACTAGTTTGGGGTCTTTGGTGGCCTAGACAGTGCACGGCTCTCTCTCTCTCTGCGAGCAGGGCTGTGGTTTCAGTAATGCATTGCTGAGTCAAGAGAAACTCAAACCCAGAGTGGTTGTGTATGTGTTAGGGACAGAAGAAGAGGAGGGAGAGTCTGACTGAGTGTAATGAAATACAAAATTGAGAGAAGAGTTGTTGTTGAACAGCGTAATCTTTTAAAGGGAAATGGCGAGAATGAAGCTTTATAACAAAAGCGCACTGAAGACTAACAGCTCTGTTGATGGTCATGATTGAATGAGGTTTAAAGTACTGCCCTATAATGGTAAGTAATCCCAGATTAAAACAGTCTAGGTGAATGATGAGGCGGGCTGAGGTCATTGTGTAAGAGCCACTGCAATGTCTCGCCCCAAATGTGATTGTTCTGCTCAAGTTGGCAGCGTTTAGGCAGCGTTATTGTAATTGCGGATCATTTGCTGGAATAGGAGTGGTGTAATGATGAACCTTCATGTGAGATCTAGAGGAAGCTCCCCTCTACTGTCGCCTGCGGTCTCATCACTGTCGAGCAAAGCACTTTCCACTGCATCATGGTGAATTGCTGTTTGCTCTTTGATTAATGTCAAATATGAGTGGAGAATAAAGACAAAGGTGGTGATATTAAGAGTAAGTGAATGACCAGTGAACAAAGAATGAGATGAGCGTGTGTGTGTGTGAGTGATAAGTGTTACTTGACTAGTGACTAGGGCCTGTCAACTCCTATGATATTTTAACAGCCAGGTCTTGCTACCTTTTGGATCACGTTTCAGCAGCCATCCCTCTACACGTTTCGGTTTGAAGAGAATATATTTGAGCTCTGCATACTTCTTTTAAGTCCAAAGTACTGCTCTGTGATCACTGAAAAATAAAAGGATTCACAGCTGTTCCTCGGATCACGCTGGTTAATGTCTTTACAATTTCATAGTGCTGAAGCGAGAGAGAAAATATCAGTGTCAGACTGATATACATGGCTCATTCTGCTGTAAGATCAGCGAATGCAGTGGAGGTAATACCACTTTTCCCTGGTTTACCTCCTATTTATTAAGCCTCAGCCAAGCATACCCGTGGCATTTACAGAGTAGGAAAAGTGCTAATGCTTTGATGCTTTTGCCTAAAGAAACCAAAAGTGGGTGAGAGATCAAAACACAGGTAAGCTATACGGTAAATTGTTAGTATACTTTCCACATCCGATTTATATTTCCAAACTAACCCAGACCCATCTTCTTTACTCTTTCTCTCTCACACACACACACACACACACACACACACACACACACACACACACACACACACACACACACACACACACACACACACACACACACACACACACACACACACACACACACACACACACACACACACACACCATGTATACATCACTTCAGGGGACATTACATTGACTTACATGCATTTCCTGGAGACTTATCCTAACCTTAACCATAACATGCCTAACCCTAACCCTTACCCTAACCCTAAACCTAACCAAGTCTTCACCCTAAAATTAATGATTCCCCTCATGGGGACCTCCAATAAGGGAGGCGAGTCCCCACACGTGACTGTGTAAACATATTTAGGTCCCCACAAGTATAGTAATGCTAGGCCACACACACACACACACACACACACACACACACACACACACACACACACACACACACACACACACACACACACACACACACACACACACACACACACACACACTATCCTACCTCGGGACTGTCCATAAGGGTGGAATTCAAACAGTGAGGGGGTTGTTGTACACCTGTGATGGCAATATAGTGGGAGCATGTGTGAAGGTAGGGGAGGGATGGGGGAGGAGTGATATGATGAATTGAGCATGCTGACTATGAAGACTTCACCTGTCTCACACACCTGCACATACAGGATCACACCTGTGCTTACCCCTCTGGGCCCCAAGACACAGATATAATCCCTGCTCTGCCTCTGTTTCCCAAACAGCCGATTAAGGCCGGCCAACAGACTGAAACAGACGAGGATCTAATTACCGCTATAATCCCTGATGATAAGAATATAGTGAATGAACCTTTATTGATCTATTGCAAATACCCTGCCAGCCGTTACGATACAAACTGTGTATGTGTGTAGGACAGATTACTCAGTTGCAGCGTGGATGTGACCAGCATTCTTATCTCCCCAAAACTCGATTATCTTAAGAGCATGCCAAAATGCAGACCGGAAGTCAGTTCACTAAATTCCTGTGATGCCTTTGACTGTCTGGAAGAGACAGCATGTGTTTTCTTATCAGTGTTTTTATGTTGCATGCTGCACTGAAAACGGCGTGTTTGAGGAAGCGTCTAATTACTCTGTATCCCGTTGCCCTCACTCTGTCCTGTGATCGGCTGTATCGCAGCAACCTTCAGGTAGAAGGGAGCGATGTCAAGGTTGAATGACTCAGAGAAGTACATGCAACTAACTAACTATACATACACAAACTGTTAACACACAGAAACACACAAATGCATACTGGCAGCCATGAAGGCACTGTGACTGCATTGAGCATTTATTTAGCAAAAGGAACAAATAAAAGTAACTAAATAAATGCACATTAATTGAATACACACTGTAT